TCCAGGGCCGCCGGTCTTCTAGGCCACCCGGCCGCCGATCCTCTAGGCCGCTCGGTCGCTGATCCTCCAGGGCCGCCCGGCCCGGCCATCGCTCCTCCAGGGCCGCCCGATCTTCTAGGGCCGCCCAGCCGCCGGGCTCCAGGCCGCCCGATCTTCCAGGCTTCCAGGCCGTTGATCCTCTGCAGGTCGTAGATCTTCCATCCAGCCTATCCCTCGCCTCCGCCGGGCTGCCAGGCCGCCAGGCCGCCAGGCCGCATCCGGGCAGCCGGGCCGCATCCTCCGCCCGTTCTTCCTTCGCCCGGCTGCCAGCAAGCCCAGCGCCCTCGGTGCCCTCAGCACCGGCCGCCAACGAGGTCGCCAACACCCTCCACATCCTCAGCGCCCCGAACGTGGGTCGTCGACCCTCAGGAGGCCCCCCGTTTCTGCTGCGGGCTCCATCCCCTCATGGAGCTAACCCCGGTAAGTCCGTCATGGTTGCAACCGGAAGTGGGAATTAGTGATAGTGATCAAGTTCCAGGTTTAATTATTATTCTGAGTGAATTAATAATTAGTAAAAGAGGTGTCAGTTAAGCCAGTTAACATTCATATTGCCTGTGAAGATTCTTCATGTGTAATTAAACCTCCGATTATTTTTAGTATAATTTTAAGTTAATCAGTATTAAGATACATTGCATGTCTGATTTTTATCACTTCAGTAGATGCCCGTAAACAATTTTATTTTTGTTTTTCCAAAAACATTAAGAACCAGTGACTTCCATTGTAAATGAGCTAAAGTACTTGTCATTGAAGTAATTGCATATTATCCCTGCCTGCACTAATTTTTATATTAACAACTCTATTATTTCTCAGCATCTGAATGCCAAACTATTGCAGAACATCATATGCATAGAAAGAGCTATTCCCAGACAATCATATAGAATCATAGAATCATAGGGTTGAAAGAGACCTTGGAAGTCTTGTGTCCAACTCATTGTCCAGGGTAGGAATCCTCAGAGAATCCCAGTCAAATAGCTCTCCAAGTTGATTCCAAAAGATAGGCTATTTCTCTACTTAACAGGTCTGACAGTCAGGACATTCCTGTAAAGACCCACCCCACTTTGCATCTTAAGAAGACAGAACTCCTGGAATATTTCTTCCAACAGGCATCTTTATTAAGAGAAAGCTGGATGCAGGCGTTCTAGACAGGACTTGGGTCCAGGCTCTCCCATTCAAGGTTTTAAGGGATCCCCCATTAGCCACACCCCATCACCCCCTTCTCCCAGCGACAATCCCAGGCATTACATTCTCACCCCCTTTTCCTCACTGCCGGGAGGAGACTTCAAAAAGGATTACATGAAAGCTAATGACCCCCATTGTTATTGTTAGTCCTTTTGGTGATATCCACATCCAGTCCCTTTGAAGTAGGCTGAAGGAAGCGAGGGCCATAAAGCCCCTTTGTTCACCCCCTTCCCTTCATCGTATGACAGAATCCAGAGCAGGCAAAAATGCGGTTTTTCATAGTTGATAACTAGAGATGGAATATATTTGGATTCTGACAATTCCTCTTTATCTTAGATTGAATCTCTCTCTATAAAGCATCTACTCATGGTTTTTCTCCTATCCTTGGGCACTATGGAGAATAAATCAGTGCCCTGTGACATCCCTATAGGAATTGGAAGACTGCTATCATATCTCCCCTTAACTTGTTCTTCTTTAAGATAAAAATGCTAATCTCCTACCTATTCTTCATAAGAAATTCATTTATTTCTGCACTTTTTCCACTTCCTTAGCATCCTTTTCATATTATGCCAACCAAAACTGAACTGAAGTATTCCAGTTGCAATGCAATCAAATCAGTGCAGCATAAATCAGAACCATCAACAGGATCTTTTGGCAGCCGTAGCATGCTACTGACTCATACTTGATCTGTGACCTACCAGGACATCCAAATCTTTCTCGCAAGTACTACTACTAAGCTAGGTGCCATCTTTCTTGTACCTGTGCATCTGATTCTTCTTATTATGGACAGGACCTTATATGACCCAACATTCATCTCTACCAAGATCCTTTGGAACCTCAAGACTGTCTTCTAGGGTATTAGCAATCCCCCCAATTTTATGTCATGTAAAAATTTGATAAGCATACCTTCTCTATAATGCTCTTCTAAATCATTATAAAAATATTAACAAACATTTGTCCATGTATGTATATGCTTTCAGTTTTTTTCACATCTCATCCTACAATTACATTTACTACAATTTAATCAATCAACCAAAATAGAGTTGGAAGGGACCTTGGAGATCTTCTATCCAACCCCTTGCTCATGCAGGAGACCCTATACCATTTCAGATAGGTGGTTGTCCAGTCTTTTCTTTAAAACCTACAGTGATGAAGCACCTACAACCTCTGAAGGCAAGCTGTTCCACTGGTTAACTGTCTTTATTGTTAGGAAGTTTCTCCTTAATTCAAAGTTTCTTCTCTAATTGATTGGTTTCCATCCATTGTTTCTTGTCTTGCCCTCTGGTGCTTTGGAAAATAAGTTGATCCCCTCTTCTTTGGGGCAGCCCCTCAAATACTGGAATACTGCTGTCATGTCACTTCTTTTCTCTAGACTAACCATACCCAATTCCTGCAACCATTCTTCATATTTTATTTGTCTCCAGGGCTTTGATCATTTTAGTTGCTCTTCTCTGAAGTTTTTCAAAGTCTCAACACCTTTTTTTAGTGTGGTGACCAAACTGGATGCAGTATTCCAGGTGCAGTCTTATTAAGGATTTATAAAGCAGTACTAATACTTCATGTGCTTTTAATTCTATGCCTCTGTTTATATAACCAAGGATTGTATTAGTTTTTTGGGCTGCTGCTGCACACAGCTGACTCATGTTTAAATGATTGTCCACAAGTATTCCAAAGTCCCTCTCATAGTTACTGTTTTTGAGTCATGTTTCACCTAATCTGTACTTATGCCTTTGATTTTTCCTGCCTAGGTGTAAAACCTTGCTTTACTCCACATTAAATTTGTTGGATAGGGCCCATTGTTCAAGTCTGTCAAGATCTTTTTGGATCCTGAGCTTGTCTTCTGGCATGTTGACTATTGTTGCCAGCTTAGTGTCATCTGCAAATTGGATGAGTTCTCCTTCTGTTCCTTCATCTAAGTCATTTGTGAAGATATTGTACTGGGTTTAAAATGGAACGTTATTGTACCCCACTCCTTACTTCCCTCCATGTAGATGTAGTACCATTAATGACTACTCATGGAGTACGGTTTGTCAGCCAGTTACAAATCCATCTAGTGGTGATGCAGCCTATCCATATTTTTTTAGCTTACCAAGAAGTAGGTTGTGATCTACTTTGTCAAATGCCTTGCTGAAGTCTAGGTATAATATGTCAATAACATTTTGCTGGTCTACTAATTTAATCACTTTGTCAAAGAATGAAATAAGATTGGTTTGGCATGATCTGTTTTTAACAAACCCATGCTGGCTTCTAGTTATGACTTTATTTGTTTTGAGATGTTCACAGATCTTATTTTTTATTATTTTTTTCCAGTATCTTCCCAGGTATTGATGCTAGGCTGATTGGTGTATAGTTTCCTGGGTCTGTTATTTTTCCTTTTTCGAAGATGAGAATCACATCAGCCCTTTTCCAATCCTCTGGAAGTTCCCCAGTGCTCCAGGATTTTTGAAAGATATGGTACAATGGTTCTGAGATTACATCTGCCAGCTCCTTCAGAACTCTAGGATGTAATCTGTTGGGTCCCGATGATTTATATTGATCAGGGTCTTGCTTATTTTAATTTGTATTTCTAGTCTCCCTTTTGTAATAGTTTTTGTGGTATGTTGGGCAATAATTTCTTTTTATGTGAAGAATGAATTAAGCAGTTCTGCTTTCTCTCTACTGCCTGTTACATCCATGCCATTTTCTCTCTTTATTGGACAGACTGTTTCTTTGACTTTTTTCTTATTATTTTTATGTTGAAAGAAACTTTTTTATTATCCTTGACTTTTGTTGCAAGTCTTTGTTCATTCTGAGCCTTTGCTTTCCTGGCTTCATTTTTGCAGATCTGGGCTATCTGCTGATATTCTGCCTTAGTTATGTGTCCCTCTATCCATTTTTTGTGCTTATACTTTTTGTCTTTCAGTTTATCAGAGAGATCTTTGTGCTGGTTTCTTCTTGGATTTCTTGTTTTTCTTTTTTAGTGGTATTGTATTGGACTTGGCTTTTAGGATCATATTTTTTAATGTTTCCCATGTTTTTTGAGTTGTTTTCCCCTTTAGAATTTTTATTCATGGAATTTTTCTTTTCCTACATAGACAAACCTGAGAGGTAACGAATGGTTTGATGTGCTCTGTGATATAGACATTAGTAGTAGGTCAGTAAATGTTATTGTTTCTGTGAAAAATAGTTAGAAATATTTGACTGTGATTATAAAAAGTTTTGGGAGTTGGCTGTGTTCCTGAAAAAGTTAGCAACCTGATAGGCTGGAGTCAGATATAAATTCATTTACAAAAACTCAAGGGTTTGAGAAGTTTTATTTATCTGTAACTGAGCTAGAGAATTTATAGTTCTTGATATTACCAATGCCAGTGCTGGCTATGTAATTTTTTCCTATTTTATTGGATTCTAGTAGCACTATTCCATGGTGAAGATATAATAAAAATTCTTTCATGAAATTGTAAATAATATGGATAGAGTTTTCCATATATATATAGCTTTTCATACCATCATTTATGTAGACTTAATGTTATCAGCAGGAACATGATCTGAATGTTTTAACAACAGAAATCTGTGTGCTGCATTGTCAGGGGAATCTTAATTACAATTATGTTTATTAAAGAAGAACATTCAGGAATTTGATTATTTTTTCCTTAGGTGATTAAGGCTGTTGAAGAAGGTTATCGTTTGCCAAGTCCCATGGACTGCCCAGCTGCTCTCTATCAGCTAATGTTAGATTCCTGGCAGAAGGACCGAAATAGCAGGCCCAAATTTGATGAAATAGTCTGCATATTGGAAAAGCTCATTCGGAATCCCAGTAGCCTGAAAACATTGGTGAACACATCAAGCAGGTATAAAATCAAATTCATGCCATGCTATCTTTCTATCATTGATGCTATGCTTCTCTGGTTTGATGAGATATCTCAGTTTTTGATTATTGTCAAAATACAAACTATTTTTCTAATTTGGAAAGAGATGATACAAAAGTAGCTACCCTTAGTTCAGACATGTCAAACTCACGATGTCATGTGACATTGCGCAACGTATCAGGATGATTTTCCCATTGCCAGCTATGGAGTGGGCGCGGCTTCCGCATGATGCGGCATCCAATAATTTTATCTCCTGAATATTACAATTTAATATAAGTTCTTTAGAAAATTGACAAATGCTGATATTATTTAAAGAAATGTGATTAAAAATTCATAACAATTTATGTCAGCATTAGCACCTACCATATCCATCAAATAGAATGCATTATATAAGAAGATGTGCTACATTTATCTTGATGGATGATGAATTATTTTATTTTGTTTATTTATTACATTCATAAGCTTTCTGAATTTTAAGAACTCTAGGACATTATAGGAACAATGGCAGTAGACATAATGCAATAGCATATTCTTCTGCAGCTTTGAAAAGAAACACACAAAATATAAAACCAGAAATTACGTATGTAAGACCGATTTAGTTCTCTGACTGTTTAGTAGATCCTCATTGTCACTTTGCAAAGTTTTTGTTAGGCTAAGTTGGGAAGATTGTGAGTAAATCACATCACTCACTCTTACTTGTCGTCTGTATATTAGCCAGTTATGAAAACCAGTTGCTAATGTTACAGTATCACCATATTATAATTTTAATAAGTGAATCGATCTGAGAAAAAATATCACCTCCCCCCCCCAAAATAAAGATATGAAATCAAAAAAATGCCCCAAGCCTGGAGTTGATGTTTGTCATTTAAAGGCCCGTTTTTTGTTTTGTGGGTTTCTGTAGCAGAGTATTTTAGTCTGGGCTGCTTGTTGTTTTAATGTTTCTTGCTATTTTTATGCTCTAGGCTTTTTTAAAAACTTTGTATGCTGCCCAGAGTCCACTGGAGTTGAGCAGCCAGTAAATTTAAACAAATAAATTAGATTTTAAAAATCGGGGTGCGAGGAAATGATCCCTCCTAAAATTGACCTGTAGAATATTTATATAGCTGGCTGTGAAGTAAAGCTTTGAAATAGTTAGGCACAAAACCTAATATTGGGCACCTCCAGGGTTACTGGACAACTCTGTTTTTCTCCATGTACAACAATCTTACATCCAACTTTTTAAAAAGATTGTGTTAATGTATACCTTGGTTTCTCTTTTAGAATTTCAAATTTATTAGGGGAACATAGCCCACTTGGAAATGGTGTCTACAGATCTGTAGGTGAATGGCTGGAAGCCATCAAAATGGGACGGTACACAGAGATTTTAATGGAAAATGGATATAATTCCATGGATGCTGTGGCTCAGGTGACACTGGAGTGAGTAGAATTCCTGATCATTTCCACTGATATAAGGGAGAGCACTTTGGGTTGGAAGTCAGTTAAGAGTAAAGGTAGAAAACAATTGGAAACATTTAAGATTTTTTTAATTGCAATTTGATTCTAGGGAAAACTCATTTATATCCTATATAAATGATAGCATATCAGAGATAACATTGATTTGTAGGTATCACAGTTGTTGAAAAGATATCATTAGTAACTTTGCACTAATAATTGATCATGTGACTTTGATCATTTCAACAGCATGCCAATTTTGGCATAAGGTGTGTCCTGCTTTTCATATAATAAAGGTACTTTCATCCTAACTGTACAAGGTGTAAGGATTTTCAAGGGAAAAAAAGTCTTGACTGCAAACATCTCTGAAAAAAAATGCAGATGAATAATCCCACTTCACTGTTATCCAGGATATGGCAACAGGTTCCTGTGCAGAAAATCTAATAATTTTGGAGCAGATCTAATCACTATTATTTTCTCTAGATTTGCTACTTTGCTCAATAGAGTTATTGTGACTCTTTCACTCATGTTATCATATTTTCCAATCTTAAATTTTTTCCAAATGATTTTTCTTTTAACATTTTGAAAAATTGTATATGTATGTATGTGTGTGTATGTACATATATATTTATATTCAAATATATTTTTCAAATTTATTGCATTTTTGTAACATACACATTTTTGTATATTTTTAACATTATAACAGTTGGAAAAGTTTCAGTCTGTGTCTTGATTTAGGAAATTCATACTACGTAAATTCAGATTAAAATGTGAGCAGAATGAATAATTCCTCTTTCTTTGTGCAGTGATATGAGGCAAGCTTATGTTAAGAGGGGATATATTTGTCCTTTACAAGGATACAGAAATATAGGGAGGCCACTGCAAGGGAAGAGGCTTTCTCTTATCAGAGACTTAATACATTCCAGACTTAAAAAATCTCAAGATCTGTATGAAATAAAAAAGGGTCCAATAGGAAAACCTATGAAGTGAACATTCCTGAGTGAAGAGTTCAAAAAACAGAAAAGCACCCTGACTTTAATTGAGAGTGACAATACCAGGAGGGTCACATTTTTGTGCTGCTCCAAACTGACAAGACCTTGATTAAAATACAGGAAGGTCAGAGGTCTTGACTGATGCATGGCAAGATATGGAATCCTTTCTCTTAAAGGCAGCTTTGCCAAAATGAAAGTGAGGTGTGGGAAAAGGAATTCCCTGTTTGTTTGTTTGTTTGTTTTTACAAAAAATAAATTGTGATTTTTTTTTCTCCCACCTCCCTACAATTATAATGAAATTTAATAAATGCCTTCATTTCCTCTGGCTTCTCTGGGTTCCAAACTAAAAAAAATGCTTGTCAATGTCATCTATGTTAGGTTGCTTTTTTTTTTTTAATTTTTTTTTTCTATAAATATGTATACAACCTCCAGTTATTCAATACTATGTCGCCTGGGTCTCCCTCCTTATCTGCTCCTTCTTCTTCCATCTAAATTGATGTTAACTATCTTTTAACCGTATTCTCTTTTCAGCCAATCATAAAAAGTTCCCCAGATTTCATAGTAGTCTGACTCTGTCTTATCTTTAATCGTCATTGTTAGTCTAT